CCCCACACCCCCCCCCCCCCCCCCCCCCCCCTTCCGCGCACTTGTAGGTGGGCAGGTCCAGGGCGCCCGGCTCCGGCCTGTAGGGCGCGGCCAGCTCGTTCTCCATGTCCAGCGCGATGGGGTGCTTGAGGTAGGCATCGCGTATGGTGGAAGCCGTGACGTACTCGTACGCCCTCGTGTTGTCCACCCAGTATTTCTGTGTGGGGGGGAGGGGGGGGGGAGGACAGTGGAGCGACGGCAGGGTGCAGCCGCTCAAAGCCGGAGTGCCGCCGATGAAGCCACCCGCGCCCAGCACTCTCTTCGTTCAGACGCCCCAGACCGTGGCAGCCCACCCCACAGGCACCTGCTGGTCGGAGGGAGTGGTGACCTCCTGCAAGAAGTCGGCCACACCCTTGCGGGCGGGGCAGGCCAGGCCAAAGCGCTCGAAGATGTCGGCCACGCTCTCGCGCGGGCCATGGTAGCAGACCAGGCCGCCCGAGATGAGGATGACGTCGTCGAAGAGCTCGTAGGTCTCGGGGGAGGGCTGGAGCAGGGCGACGAGCAGCGTGGCGCGGCGGATGTGGGCGATGGCGCGCAGGGAGTTGGTGATGTTGAAGGTGGTGTTGGAGTCCAGGCCCGTAGAGATCTCGTCCGCCACCAGGACCAGGGACTGGGAGACGCCCACCTCGCCTGTGCCCAGGCGCTTGCGCTGGCCTCCGGAGATGCCGCGCAGCATCTGGTTGCCCACAAGCGTGTCGGAGCAGGTGTCCAGGCCCAGCAGGCGGATGATGGCCTCCACGGCGATGGAGTTGGAGTGGCCAAAGGCGATGGCGCGCATGTACGCGTCCACGCCGGGGTCGGGAGTCACGCCCGCCTCCTTCTCCCGCGCCAGCACCGTCTCCAGCAGGTCTGTGGGTGGGTGGATGTGTTATGTGGAGGTGATGAGCAGGGCAGGGGGTGGCTTGGGTGCTGAAGGCCAACAGTGACCCCCCATTGAATCTGCATGACCCTGAGTCCCACCACAGCGTGCAGCCCCGCGTGCAGATGCCTCGTTCCGCCTCCACGCCAGCGCCAGCATGCACTCCAAGCTCACCTTTCATGTGGCTGGAGGACTGGCACTGGGCCGCAAAGTCGATGGTCTCGCGCACGGTCAGCTCCCCAAAGTGGGTGTCGAACTGCGGGGTTGGGGGGTGAAATGACATGAGCTCTGGAGCTTGGAACCCCCTGACTCATACAAGACTGGCCCCGAACCCTCAAGACCTGGGACCCAGCCAGCCAGCACTATTGTCTGCGAGGCCGTTCCACGAATGAATGCTGCAGGGAAGTACACATAACCCATGCCCAGCAATGCACTACCACACACCTGATTGACATAGGAGGCAACGCGCTCGGGCATGAACTCATTGAAGTTCTTGCCGTTGTATGTCACGGAGCCGGTGACCTGAGAGCCAGGGGGAGAAGACAGGCTGCATGAGACGAGGCGGGGCAAAGCACTCCCTCCGCTCAGAGACCCGCACCTGCCACCATGCACCCTCGCATTTTCCCCCTCCCCTGCCGCCCTCACCTTGAGATCGCTGCTGTGGCGGTAGCGCCCCACGAGGGCCTTCATGAAGGTGGTCTTGCCGGAGCTGGGGGGTCCGAGGATGAGGGTGAGCCTGCCGGGCCGCAGGATGCCGCTAGCGTCGTGCACGATGGACAGGGGGCGCTTAGGCTCGGTCCAGGAAAGGAAGGCGTGCGACACGGAGTGGGGGAGGGTGGGCAGCTCCTTGTCGCCCACCAGGGCATTGGTCTCCACCGACATGTGATGGTACCGAATGGTGACCGTGGGAGGGTACACCTCGACCCTGTGAACAGGTGGCGCCATGGAGGGAGGGTCGGGATCTGCAGTGCCCCTTGCACTCCCTGGCATGTACTTTTATGCAGCCAATCACAGCACAGCCATCCACTCTCCTCCTTGCCCTTCGTCAAACTCACTTTGTGAGGCGGGCATGGACGCCCTCCATCATGTCGACCTCAGCGTTGTGCTTCTGGATCGGCACCAGCTGGTCCAGCAGCTGGACGGAGCCGATCTTGGTGAGCCGCTTGGCGTCCACCACCTTGACCCCTTGGCCATCCGCATCCTTCAGGACGACAGACCTCCTGGCATGCTTGGCCTTCAACTGACTCAGAGCCGTCTCTTTCAGGGCCTGCAAGCGTGTGCGGGGGGCAGTGGGCGTGAGGGGTGACCTGAATCGAGCCCAAGGCACGGCTGGTGGTGGGGGTGTGACGGCTGCACCTACCTGGAAGTCGCGGTCATTATTGGACATCGCGCTCCTCTGCGACAGGCGTGAATCATTTCGTCCTTCAACATTTCCAAAGGCAACCGGTACAAGAGACCCGGCGCCGTCCAGGCTTGCCATATGGGCTGTTGAACCCGAGGCTGTTCCTGGCCGCGATATGAATATGCTCGTGCCCTCCGGCCGTCTTTGCCTGAACCCAAGCTCGTTCGATGGCTCCTGGTCGCCGTAACAAATAGATAGTACTTGGCGTTCTGCCTATTTGATCGTGTTACAGGGTAATTATCTGTTTGTGTCAAGTCACATAAGGTAACGTAAACCTCACGGCAAACTTTTTGTTATGCTCGTATGATTTTTCGCATCGACCATTCTCTCGGCGCTCATTTTAAGATTTACTCACAGTCGAGGCGAGCGAACCTCAGGTACTGGAGTTGACCTGGAGCATGTGTTACTGTGGTGTGTAGGTGCACGGTTGGACGGCCAACCCAGATCATGAGCCAGGACCTGACAGGCGGCCTCGGTGCATGACGCCAGGGAGGTTGGCAGACCTCTACAAAAGCTGCTCTCGAAGCCTGCACAGAGCTTCCTGCTAATCCACTTGCCTCGACACTTCTTTCGTACCGGCATTGTGGGACAGGAGCACCATGCCCCTTGGTACCTGCCAGGTTGCATTCCCCATGCGCAGCTTATATCTGCAGAGGAGGGTCTCCCCCGACAGCTTTGAGAAGGTACATGTACAATAACGTCGACAATATCTCTTTGTATAGGGAAGTATCATGCGTCCGTAGGTCGTGGACCAAGTCTTGGCGGTTCAGCTTGGTGGGCAAACGGTGCGGCCATCAACGCTCGCCAGGACCGCGACGAGTCCCACCCGGGCCGCAGCTCGCAATCCCTGGGCTGCCTCCCCCGCCCTCGCCCGTCCGGGACTCTCCCTCTTCTCTGCTTCTCCCACGCTGCAGTCAGTCACAACCAACAGTACACAGTGCCAGCACACGCGCGCACACACAGTGGCCAGGTATGGGTGCGGGGGGGTGGGGCCATGGTGGCGCCAGTGTGCCCCCACGAGCCGGCACCATCACTGGCCCGGGGGTCGCAACCGGGGGGGCCGCCCCCGTGACGCAGGGCCCCCGTCGTCGGAGTCGTACTCCTCGTCCATGCGCAGGCCGGAGGGCCGGATCTCCATGCTCCACTCGTCGTGGGGCGAGGTGGGGAGCGGGCCGGGCACACCCCGCCCCGCCGCGGGCGCCGGGGTCGCGACGTCAAACGGCGACAGCGCTGGCACGCCCGGCCGCGGCGAGGCGTCGTCGGCGCCGTCGCCCGGGCGGTCCCCGCCCCACAGCCCCGCCAGCAGCGACACGGAGCGCCGCGCCGGCTGCCGCGCCGCGCCGCGCGCCGCGGCAGCGCCGTCGCCGCCCCCGCCCTCGCCGGCCGTGGGCGAGGCGGGGGGGAACCAGGGCAGGCCCGGGCGGCGCTGGGCCGTGTCCGAGGTGCTGAGGGTGCGCACGACGCCGCGCAGCGAGGGCAGGCCCTCCTGCCGGCGCGGGCTGGCGCTGCGACTGCGCCCCGCCACGCCCCCCGCCCCGTCGCTGCTGGCCTCGCTGCCGCTGCTCTCCGCGGCGCCGGCGCCGCGCCACCGCTGCGCGGCGCCAAAGGCGCTGTGGCCCAGGTACGGCGGCGGCTCCGAGCGCCGCTGCACGGCGCCGCCCGCGCTGGAGCGCGACACGCGCACCGCGGAGACCTCCTCCTCCCCCATCCTCCCCCTCGTCGTCCTCGTCGGAGCCCGCCACGCCTGCGCCCCGCGCGCGGCCGCCCCACGCGTACGGACGGTGCTGCAGGCGGTAGCGGGTGTAGCTGTCGCGGCGCGTGGTGGGGATGCCCTCGCTCCCGCTGCTGGAGGGCAGGGGCTCGTCGTCCTCCTCCTCCCCTGCCGCGCTGTCCTCGTCGCCGCCGCCGCCGCTGCTCGACCGCGCCGTGCGGCGCGCGCCCTCGGGCGACGACCGCGTGCGCCGCTCGGGCAGCACGCCCTCGTACGCCATGCTGATGCGCGGCGCCATGACGTCGTCCTCGTCGTCATCGGCGCCGGACCCGCGGCGGGGCACGCGCGGAGCAAAGTGCTGCGCGGGGGCGGAGCGCGCACCCGCCCCGCCAAACATGGGGAAGGCGGGGGGGAGGTTGTAGGAGTTGCCCGTCGACCCCGCCGCGGAGCCGC